CCGCGGCCTCGAGACGCGTTCGGCGCCCCCGTCCGCAACCGCTCTCTCTCTCTCTCTCTCTCTCTCTCACTCTCACTCTCTCTCTTCCCGCAATTACGATACGAGGCTGATGGATTTCGCAGCAACGAGTGCAAGCGTCGGAAGATCAAATGCAACGGCAACACGCCCTGCCAGCGATGCGGGAACCTGAACCTCGAATGCCAGTATGCGCCCAACTGCTGCGCGAACGGGTTCAAGGACTCGGAGGATTTCCGGCAGATGAACGCGCAGCTGGCCTCGCTGCAAGAGCAGGTCGACAATCTCTACGCGAACCTCAATGCTTTGCGCGCCGGCGGGGACGTTATGGGCTTCCCTCCTCCGTCAGAGAGGTCGCTGTCCATGTCGCAGCCGCCCGCGCCACAGCCTATATCGCCCGCCAACCGACACCGACCAGCTCCCAAACACCCTCCCTTCCGCGGCCCGACGAGCTCGGCGTTCAGTCTGGATGTTGCGAAGAACACACTGCATAATATGGGGTATCAAGGTCTGGGGGTGGATGAAGGCGTGCTGACTCAAGATGTCACGCCCGTTGCTTCTCCTCCCCGCACATCACCGCGGCCCTTACTCACTGCCAATGGCGACCCCCGTAGGGATCCTATCTGGGCGTTGAGCAAAGACGAGATGGTTCGCTTGTGCCGCATGTATGAAGAGGAGATGGGGATCATGTATCCGGTCATTAACATTGAGCGAGTGATCCTCCACGGGACACATCTGTATAGCTACGCCGACGCAGCGCTGGGGTCTGGCCTGGCGAACCCTTCTGCCCCCGGTAAAGGGATTAATGATGAGCAGTCGTGTATTCTTAAGATGGTGCTGGCTATATCTACGGTGCTTGAGGGTGCCGGCCAGAGTGAGATCGGGTATAGGTTGTTTCAGAGTGTGAAGGAGTTCGCAGACCGGATTCTGTATGACGAAGTCATCGAGATCAAGAGTCTCCCCTTTTTGGTGCTTGTGGTAAGTTGACATATTTCTTCTGATTGTCGTTTGGTTCAGGGGCCGGAGAGGAGCCCAAAGAAAAGGAGAGTCAGAAAAAGCTACTCGGTGAAGGCTGTTTGAAAAAGATATACTCGGTTTATAGACCAGTTTTCAATTCTTCAGCATTATTTGTCGGTTTGCTGGCATTCACGTCAATCATATTTTGGCCTTGGTGGTCAGAGACAATGCAGTACTGCGGGCTTCTCTTCAGGAACCAATACTTTCTCGATGAAGCATATCATACTGACTTAGATACGTAGGCCATCTACCACTTCCACTGCGACGAGGAGGCGTTGGCGTGGCGTATAATTGGGCAAGTCGCTCGAATGTGCATTGAGTTAGGATTGCACAGACGAGACTCACTGTTTAAAGCTGTGACGGATGAGGAGGAACGTTCGACTGCCATCAGGCTATTTTGGTCTGTGTATGTCCTGGATAGGAGGTGGAGTTTTGGAACGGGAATGCCATTTGCACTACAAGATGCAGACATTGATCCAAGCTTACCGGAGCCCGTAAGTGCTTCCACACTGTCGATCCAACATAACGCTGAAACCGAATCTAGGATATGAGCCTCCCATATCTCAATGTGATGATTGCCTACTCTCGTATTGGGTCTAAAGTCTGGCGGTCTATTGGCTCCTTCTCTCCAACCCCAAGCGCATCTCTGAATATTGAAGAGATCGGATATCTCGACTATCAGACCCTCCAATGGGCGAAGTCGATCCCTTCCGAGCTTCAACTTCCCACGGCCTCTTCCTCACAAACCGCCTCTCGCGCCATCCACCGTCTCCAAATCCTTCTTTATCTCCGCGCCAACCAGATGCGCATCTTGATCTACACGCCCGTCCTTCACAGTGGCAGTTCCATCCAGGAGAACCTCAGTTATGCAAGCACCGTCGTGGAATTAGCCAAAGACACCATCCGCGCACTCACGCATCTCAATCAAACCACCGACATCTACCGCGCCCAACAAGTATGCTTCAACTATTTCCTAATCTCGGCACTCGCCGTCATCTTCCTGGCCAGCTGCCACGCACCCGTGCATTTCAGCCCGCTCTGCCGCGAGGAATTCTACATGGCACTCGATCTCGTCAAGGGATTCAGCAACAAATCCTTCGTCAGCAAGCGTCTCTGGAAGACGATCAAAGGGCTCAAGGAGATCGGGCCCAAGCTCGGCCTCTCGCAGGACCACAACGAGAACCACCACATGGAAGATGCGCATTCCTCGGCCGCGCTGGCCATGGCTGGGCTCGCGGGCCACGAGATCTCCGGCTTGAGCAGCGCCTTTGGCCAGGATGGCATGGCGGCCAATGGGAATAGCCCGATGAATGGCTTCCAGATGAGCCATGAGATGACGAATCTTTTCGAGGCGGCCCTGGGGAGCGCCGGGGTCGGGAATGGCTCGGGTGCTGGTGGGTATGCACAGCTCCCCCCTGGTGGTGCGGATAATACTGGGAGTAATGCGTTTGGTGGTGATGAACAGCTGTATCGGAAGTTGCGAGATCTCTTCTGATTGATGAATATTAATTAAACACCCGTGTGTTCTTTTTGGCATGGCATGGCATGGCATGGCATGGTATGGGTCGGGTACCTGGGTATTACTTTGCGGGTCATGCTTCACGGGGCTTCATTCAGTGCGCAATTATATTATACCTACCTTAAACTTTTCAGCAGATTATATTTACTGTATATATGTTACCAGATAATTTATATATTTATTTCATGGGAGATCTGGCGCACTTAAAATGGTGCCAGAACACTCCCCAAATCCAACCAGAGCACCCGGCTCGCCACCACACACCCCTCTCAACGTGATCGTATCCCCGTCCAGCAAGAACGTCCTCACATCCATGCCCACGATCATGATCTCCTTCTTGCCCCCCTCGTTCATCTCCAGCAAGCTCCCCAGGTCGTTCTTGCCCGTCCCACTAATGGTCCCGCTGCCCAGCAGATCACCCGTCGCCATCGGACACCCCCCGATACTGTGATGCGCGATCATCTGCGCAAAGCTCCACAGGAGATACTTTCCACTGGTCCTGGAAAGCGTCGTGGTGCCCCCATCCGGCGTCGTCAGATCGACCTCCAGCTGGATATCATAGACCGTGTCCTCCCTCTCCTCCTTCAGGTAATCCAGGACCGGGGTCTCGTTCTTCAGCTTGGGCGCGCGGAACGGCTCCAGCGCATCGGCCAGCACGATCCACGGCGAGATGGAGGTCCCGAAGTTCTTGGCGTTGAAGGGGCCCAGCGGCACGTACTCCCACGTCTGGATGTCGCGCGCCGACCAGTCGTTCATGAGCACGAACCCGAAGATGTGCGACGCCGCCTCGCCGATCGGGATCGGCTCGCCCATGCGGTTCCCCGTGCACAGGAAGCAGCCGAGCTCGAGCTCGATGTCGAGACGCCGGCTGGGGCCCAGCACGGGCACTTTCGGCTCTGCGCTCGGGTCGGCCAGGATCTGGCCGTTGGGTCGCCGGATTGGTGTCCCTGAGACGACGACGCTGGAGGCGCGGCCGTGGTACCCGACGGGCAGGTGCGTGTAGTTTGGCTGTAGGGCGTTGGCGGCCCCGCGGAACATGGTTCTGGAGGGGAGGAAGGTCTGGTTAGCTGGTGGTTCCCTTCTGGGGGGATGTGCGAGAGGAGAGCGCAAAACTACAAAACTACCTACCCAACATTGGAGGCATGGTTTATGCCGGCGAAGAAATCAGTGTAGTCGCCAATCTGCATTGGCAAGTGTGTCTTGGTGTCATGCTTGGGGAGCAGCGCCGCCTTCTGCAGCGCGGCGTTGTCCTTCAGGATCTCGGGATGCGCAGTGTCCGCGGCGAAGATGTCTTGCAGATAGGCGCGCACTTCTCTGTGGACGGGCTGGCCCAGCGCGGCGAAGGCGTTCAACGTTGGTTGGGAGAAGACGGCGACGTGCTCTTGGAAGGAGGGCAGCGCGGAGAAGCCACCGTCGGCGGCGAAGGCTTTGAGGTCGAGGACGTGGTCGCCGATGGCCACGGCGGCCCTCTTCTCGATCTGCGAGTGGCGGCTGGTGATGATGCCAAAGGGGATGTTGGCCAGCGAGAAATGGCTGTCGGCGGGGATGGAGAGCCAGGAGGAGCGGGGCGCCATGGTGAATGATGAAGCTTCTGGCTCGGCTACGCTACGGACAAAGGATGGAACGCAGGTGGAGGAGGTGAAGGTGAAGGTGAAGAAGAGAAGCAGAAGCAGAAGTAAAAGACGAAGAGAAAGACGAAATATAAATCGAAAGACAAAGTATCGAGAACCTTCGCATCAGGAAATCTTCAAGTCGGATTACGTGTGAAGTCGGTAATTCTGCCGATTCCCTGACAACTTTAAACTCTTAGAGCCCCGCCATGAAGCCCGTCGATTTCCCTCCCAGAAGGGATTAGCGCGTGGTGGGGGAAGAACGTCGATTAACACGGCCTCGAGAGACGGAAGGATTCCGCTTCGTAGAACCTGGGAACTTGGAGAGACAAAGAGACAAACAACACCACAACTCTCCAGCCCTTCTCCTGCCACGATTACCACGATTACCATGATCGCCCTCAATCCCCGCCATCTTCTCAGCCCCCTTACCTCCACAGACACGGAAACGGAAAGTATCCGCTGCAAGTGTCGCTGGAAGGAGGACGCTTCCCCGCATTGAAGGGAAGAGAAGCCATTGGTTACAGCAAGTATCTATATCGATATTCAGTGTCTCTCTTGTCTCACGTTCGGTTGGCTATATGAGGGGGGAAAATCAAGCAGCAGTTCTGCTTCGCTTTTCTCCGTCTCCTTTCTTCTCTCCATCTTGAGCTTTCTCATCCTCTTAACCTTCCTTCCATATGGTCTTGCAATGGCGTACCAGACCACCGGCATTGCCATCCTTACAATCATTTTCTTCGTTGTCAAATACCTAAACAGGACTGATACGCCCAAGATCAAGAACCTGCCAGAAATCCCAGGCGTTCCCCTCTTTGGTAACTTGTTACAGTTCGGAAGTACCCACGCCAGAGTAGCCGGGCAATTAGCAAAGAAGTATGGGCCAGTCTTCCAAGTAAGGCTAGGAAACAGGGCATGTCACCTAGCCTTTGGATGTGCAGGAATATTTTCATTGACTTCAGACAGCGTATCGTGTTCGCCAACTCTTTCGACTCGGTCCGCCATCTCTGGATCACCAACCAATCTGCCCTAATCTCACGCCCCACCCTCCACACCTTCCATAATGTGGTCTCCAGCTCCCAAGGCTTCACAATCGGCACGTCGCCGTGGGATGAGTCTTGCAAGCAACGTCGGAAGGCTGCGGCAACCGCCCTGAACCGACCGGCCGTGCAATCGTACATGCCAATCATCGACCTAGAATCGAACGTCTCCATCAAGGAGCTCCTCGAGGACAGCGAGAATGGCAAGAAGGACATCGATCCCATCGCATATTTCCAACGCTTCGCGCTCAACACTTCGCTGACATTGAACTATGGGTCAAGAATCGATGGTAAGATCGACGATGCGCTGTTGAAGGAGATTTGTGACGTAGAGCGCGCTATCAGCAACTTCAGATCTACGAGCAACAACTGGCAGGATTACATCCCACTATTGAGATTATTCCCCGGAACTAATACCGAGGCTAAAGAATGGAGAGACAGGAGAGACAGTTACCTAACGTTGCTGTTGAGTAAGCTCAAGAAGGAGATTGAGGAAGGGACAGACAAGCCTTGCATCACGGGCAACATCTTGAAAGACCCCGAGGCGAAGTTGAACGAGAGTGAGTTTCCAGATCTCAGGGGAAGTGTAATGCTAATGAGTAGCAGACGAGATCAAATCCATCTGCCTAACCATGGTTTCCGCAGGGCTCGACACCATCCCCGGAAACCTAATCATGGGGATCGCCTATCTCTCTTCGCCCCACGGCCAAGAGATCCAGAAACGAGCCTACGAAGAGATCATGAAGGTGTATCCAGATGGCAACGCCTGGACGCAGTGTCTCGTCGAGGAGAAAGTCCCCTACGTAACAGCCTTCGTCCGCGAAGTCCTCCGTTTCTTCACCGTCATCCCCATCAGTCTGCCCCGAACAAGCATCAAGGACATCACATACGGCGACGCCGTCATCCCCGCGGGCACCACATTCTACATGGTACACCTCCCCACTCCCTCCCCCCTCAAATCCCACTAACCCCACCACCCCCCCAGAACGCCTGGGCCGCCGACTTCGACACCTCGCACTTCAAAGACCCCCACACCTTCTCGGTCGAGCGCTACCTCGACAACCCCGAAGGCGCGGGCACCCCGCACTACGCGTATGGCGCCGGGTCCCGCATGTGCGCCGGCTCGCACCTCGCGAATCGCGAGCTGTACACGGCCTTCGTCCGTCTGATCACGGCATTCCATATCGATGCGCCGCGGGCGCCTCAGGATCTCCCCATCTTGGACGCGCTGGACTGTAATTCGATACCGACGAGCTTGACGACGGACCCGAAACCTTTCAAGTGCGGATTTAGGGCGAGGAATCTGGAGGCGTTGCAGAGGTGGATGAGGGAGAGTGAGGAACGGACTAGGGGTTTGTAAGGGATTGTAAGGGGTTGGGATAGTGTTTGGTCTGAGGCTTGTGCAGACATGTTGCTTGCTTACCTTACCCTTAAGTAGGTGTATATATAAAACAAAACTTATCTGCAAAGTATCTGATGATGTTGATGCTAAAAATGAAATGCGAATGCATGACTGGATCATGTAGCCCCACTAGGAGGAACCCTTGGTTTCCATTCAGATCAGGCTATCACTCAGGGGGGCTGCACTAATCGGGACTAGTGCTTGTCCCTCCTACTTCTTCCTACCTACCTACTCATCGTAATAATCCTCCTCATCATCATCCATCTCATACCAGTCTTGTTGCTCAGCATCCCAATACGTGAGCCAATCCAAAGCTCTCAGCGCCGCGCCCCTAGCCGCGATCTCCAGGCTCGGGACACAGACTTCATCATTGCTCGTGGTTCTGTTGTTCAGTCCTAGGGCTTCCTGAACCGCGTGGGTCAATAGACCTACGTCGGTCGTGCTGTCCAGGATGATGAATGAGGAGATCTCTTTGGTCCAGGAACGAGTGGATGCCGGCGTGGGGACGTTATTCACGGTGTTTGCTAAGATAGCTTGTTGTTTGTCCGAGGGGAGTGAGGTAATCTCTTCAAAGTCAGGGCCTAGGAAGGAGGTGGGGGTTAGAAAAGGGGTTCACAAAGGGTTGTTTGCGAGCGGATGGGAAATGGAACTGGCGAATCGGCTTACCTTGGTGATACTCCCACGGGGCTTCAGGTCTGAAGACAAACTCTTGGATCGAGGCGCTGACTTCCTCCACGTACTTCCTTTCAACATCCCAGATATCCTGACCGGTCATATTCAGAACCCTTAGGAGCCCCGTTGAACTCGTCAGGTTGACACTTGTAGAGCGGTTTTGGAACTCCAAGTCTTCGGGCCAGTTACGCCCATATCTTATTTGCATCCTTGCATCATGTACTTGGCGAATAGCATTCGGGAAATGAATGTCCCGAGTCCAGTTTCTTTCTGATTCCGTCACGTTGGAATTGAATACACCGATAATTCTCTGTAACAGGGTTTCCAGGATATAACTGCCCCCAAAATGGTCCAGGCCAATGGATTCCCTGCCATAATGTTGGTTATCCCTGTCATCCCAGGTACTTAGATGAACATCCATATGATAGTGGCCGTGGTCTATGATTATCGCCGGGCCATGTCCCTTCAAAGTCTTCGACGCGATATCAACCCGATTGTGGGGCTGTTCCCAGACTTCGATGTTCGCAAGGAGGCAGGCTTCATTAAATAGATCACCGATATCGTTATAAGTCCAGGAAGGACGTGATATCACTGCAGAGGTGATCGTGATGTTGTGTTCGCTGAGCGACATCCGCTTGACTTCTTCCAGAAGGTCAACGATGGCCATAATAAAATTGCTCTTCGTCAGCAGCGTGGGGGATTGAGGCGTTCGGAACCATCTCGGCATCGATGATAGGAGTCGGGTCATGCGTGAGTGGGATTTCAAATTCTGATATTTGGACTTTGGGGGTTTGGGAGAATAGACTTCGTCGCGGAAGCAAATTTCCGGAAAGGCCTGGAATTTTTGGAACAGAGGCAATAATTTGCGACATGAGTGTGAGAGAAGAGATCCCGCCCATGCTGAAGCTTGATCAGAAGCTTGGGTATACCAAGGGTCGGATTCAGAAGCCCATTGCGCATCGTCGTCGATTATCACGGGCCCGCCGAGACGGCCCCGCTGCGAAAATATATCGTACACATATTGAGAATAGTGATTCCCCGGACCGGGACATGCAAAGCCCAAGGTGGTGAAATTGCTGGGACTATCAGCGTAAACGGCGAACCTGCATTCATATTAGGTTTTCCGGAATGCATACCTATGTCGATAGGAGATGCTTACGCGCAGGTAGACGAGAAGTCTATTCCAATGGGTTGTGGTTTCCCGCTCCAATATCGATCACCGCGTTCGAATCCACATGCTCCGAGGGAGAGAAGGCAAGCTAAACATATTACGGTGAATAAAAGGAAAACAAACGTGGACCTCATCTTGAGGACTGATGAGTTGCCCGATCTTCACATGGAAGGTCAGGTTATATCAAGTCCCCTGAGGGGTGCTGCAGTTCGCTTAAGGGTCCAAGACTTCTATTCCATTGTACGGATTGAGCACGTGATTTATAGTCCCTCTTAGTTTTCCTTCCTGTACCTTAGGTGAGGTACCTAAGGTACCTTATGAAGACAGAAAACATTACACTTTTCGATTAGATCACCCGGGAATAGATCTCTATCTCGGGGACGTAGAAGGGCTTGGCTACCCGAAGAAGATGGGTCGCCCCCGCCACAATCGACTAGCCACAAATGACCAGCCACACATAACCAGCCACACCAAATCTAGATGCGGTGAACTGTAGACGTCATCTAAGCCACTCCGCATCGTCACTGCGCCTGCCTTTCGCCCCTCCCCCCGAACCCCCACCAATAGCGTCAACGGTCCACCTTCATCAGCGCGAATATAACAACAAACCATCACTTCCCCTCACTTTACCTATTCAACCCTTTCGACACTTTCTACAACTACAAAGCCATACCGACTCCAAGCTCGGAAGACCAACGGCATCATGTCTGCGAATACCGTCTACGTCAAGAACATCAGCTCCCAGACTAGTGAGAAGGAAGTCAAGGACTTCTTCTCTTTCTGGTAAATTCGCCGTCTATTATGAAGCTTGGTCTTGCTTGAATGGTTGCTAACTCTTTTTCTCTTCAGTGGAAAGATTGCCAACATCGAAGTCATCCCCGCGGGGGAGACCCAAAATGCCACCGTCACCTTCGAGAAGGAAACTGCCGCCAAGACCGCCCTTCTACTCGACAACACCCAGCTTGGTTCTACTCATGTTCAAGTAACCAGTGCCGCTGGCGTGAACGAAGAAGACTCAAGTCATTACTCTACAACTGCTGAGCGTGATACCGATGAGATTACTCAGGAGGAGAAGCCGAAAACCCGCATTATTGCTGAGTATCTCGCTCATGGCTATGTGCGTCGTCGTCGCCTTCCGCAATGAACTATCAGATACTAACTCCTTTCAGGCAATCGGTGACCAAGCAGCACAACGTGCTATCGATCTTGACCACAAGCATGGTGTCTCCAGTAAATTCCTCGATACGCTCAACAAGTTTGATCAGAAATACCATGTATTTCTTCTTTCCAGCCCCCTCCCCCTTCTGGCTTGAATAATTCTGACCACTTAATCCTTTAGGCTACCGACAAGGCAAAGTCACTCGACCAGTCGTATGGCGTCACGGAGAAGACCAACTCTCTATTTTCTCGCTTGAACTCATTCTATGAGAAGGCAGCCGGTACCCCAACTGGCCAGAAGCTTGCCAACTTCTACACACAAACTTCTCGCCAAATTCAAGACATCCATGCCGAGGCTCGTCGTCTTGCAGATCTGAAGAAGCATGAAGCTAGAGTTCAAAAGGTTGCCGGAACTGAGAAGACCACCTGTAAGTGCGGTTCAGATTCCGCCAATTGTCCATGCGGTCCTGGAGAGTGTGCTTGTGTCGGGTGCGCCAAGTCGGATGTCAAGGAGGCATCAGGCAACAAGGACAAGACTACATGCAAATGTGGTGGCGACCCTGCCCAGTGTGCATGTCCTCCTGGTCACTGTGTTTGCAATTCTTGCCCCAAGGCAGAGGTCAAGTCAGTAGCCTCTGGTAGCGACAAGACTACTTGCAACTGCGGCGGAAACGATCGAAATTGCCTTTGCCAGGAGGGCAAATGTGCTTGCAGCGGCTGCTCTAAATAAATGGGTTTCTTTACGGAGTGTGGTTTCTTTGGGACATTGTACAACTATGGAACATTTCAGCTGACGACTTCACCCCGTTCAGCACTTTCGACACATGAGACCGCGGTTAGGGATACTGCCTTTGTGGATTCTACCAGGATTGCTCCTCTCGAGCCAGCAAGTGGAGTGGCTACGCCTGCTGGAACAGCTACACCGGCGTAGTGTATTGTGTATTGATAATTACGTGGTATGGAATTGAGATTGGAGGAATTGAAGTCGGAGGATATACCTTTTCGCTCACTGCCGCAATGGTCACTTTGATAGCTAGCTTAAGCTTTTATCAATGCATTACGACTATACTTGACACACTTCCGGTTTGTGACCGACGTCCATAATATGGGTCAATTACCACCCCCTTTCTTCACGGCTTCGTAGTTTACAACACTTCTAAATTGATCATCACGGCTCATATCACTTTTAGCCTATCGTGAACCTATGGCACCTAGGTATCCCAAATAATTCACATTAACACAATTTCCATATCCCAACCAATTTCAGTACGTTATATCGCCGGCCACATTTTTAACCGTCTTCTTCGTAGTCTCCGCTACATGATCATCCATCGGACCCTTTGGGTTGGATGTAAGTGCCTGTTTCATGACGTCAGCTGTCAAACTCTCATGAAACTATCCAAAAGTAATGAGCAATAGAAGAAGAGCGGTGAGGACATACATTGATGTCAGCCTGGCTCTCTCTCTTGTTCTTTGACGTTTCGTTGACGCCTTGCCCACTCGAAGGGGCATCCTTCTGTTGAGCGCCTGATTGTCGCTCAGGAGAAGGGGATTGACGACCGGTATTTTGTGCAGACATTTTCTATGATTCAAGAGCAGTCTCCTATGAGCTTATCCAACTGTCAGTTTTGACAGTTATCTTGACCTTTTCAGGAATGAGGGGTATATATGTTTTGGGGAAGCCTAAGGGGGGAGGCTGAGGAGAAGCGAGGAACGAAACTATGGAGTCAGGACTCACTTCTGAAGAGGATATTCTGATGAGGTTCAGGACTGTTTGATAGAGGTTTATGATGGTATGAAAGGAGTGAAATGAGGTAGAGGCAACTTCTTATATCCCCGCTCTGTCCCATACGTCATAATATCCCACCTGCTCAACCAGCCTGTTTGGACAAGGCTGCAAGGCTGCCAGATTAGTGATGGATCTTCACGTGACTTGCACCGCCAGCCTCGGTTTCGACGCGAGATTGCTGCTCAATGCGAGCGACCACGTACAGGACAACGCCTTGTCTCCAATGCCACCACGACAAGGGACGTCTGGAACATCTGGGACATCGGGCTGCAAAGACTTCTGCATCTGAAGGCCATCACTCCTCCGCAGAATTCTGCTCAGCACACCTTCATTGATCTCTTGAAGCCGTTGAGCTCCATTCTGACAACATGGCGCCCGATCTCAACTCTGTTCCACCTTCTCCTCGACCCGTGGCTTCTTCCCCGCAAGTCACATCAAGAACACCTTCGAGGCGACCTTCTCAGCAGATGCCTCCGCCGACTGTTCGACCTTCTTCCCCTTCTTTAAATATCCTACCCTCGAACCAGAGCGTGGTTAATCAAGCCTCTCCGACCATGGCATCACCAGCCGTGCCTCCTCTCGCGTCGGGAGGAATTGTCGGCCCTCTTGGAGACAATACGGGTGTTGGGACTGGTCCTGGCCCTTTAAGACATCCCCGACCTTTGACAGCTGCGGACCTCCATCTGCAATTGGAGAAGGAACAGGAAGCTGTCGTATGTACTCGCTTTTTTTTGCTGCAATTCAGCACTGACACAGCCAGGTCAATCGATTAACAAGAGAGCTTTCCATGCTGCGAGCAGCCCAAAATGCATCCGTCGTTTCCAATGCCTCTTCCACCTCCGCCGGCCTCCCTGATCCCGCTGACCACGGTGCAAACCACCTCCTCTCCGGGCCCTCGCACCCCGCCCCCTCCCAACGCCGACACCATCGCTCCTCCTCAAGCACCAGTACTCGTAGCATTACAGCCGGTATAACAGGAGGCCTGAGCAGCGTCGGCGGAATCACAGGTAGCATCTCGTCAGGTGTTGCACCAGACCGGAGCCGCGGCACTCTTCCACGTCACGACTCCACCCAGTCCCAATCTCTAAGCCGACAGAACTCTATAACCGGCTCGAGAAGAAGTGGAGCCAGTAGCCCGGCACCATTGAGCTCTGCTCAATCGAGCTATCAGCATCCCGAGCACTTCTCACATTACTACCAGCAACGAGCAAGCCTACCTCATCGCGAGCCATCATCAGGCAGTGTGCCTGGATTGGGGCCTGGAGAGGGATTGAGAAGCGACAGCGTGACGAGCGTGCAGACAACGGGGCGCTACGAGGAGACAGCCCATCATAGACATGAGCTAGAAGCCGTGAAGAGGGAGAACGAAGCGCTCAAGAGGAGAATTAGGGAATTAGAGCGGATGTTATCGAGAACGAGCAGACAAGGTGACCCGAGCAGGACGAGAAGCGAGAGCGTTAGTACCACGGCAAGTGTGCGTGATAACACGACTGGCGTCCTCCTGGGTAGGGAAAGAGAAAACGAGGCCGACGACGAGGTTGTCCGGGTTGGCGAAAGCGCGCGGAGTACTGGAGTTTTACGGTAGAGAACGGACGGACGGACGGATGGATGGGGATGTGAGTGTGCAGCGTCACGCTTTACGATGTCTATGAATGAATGGGTCTCTTTTATTTACTCTCTGGCGGTTTGGGCGGACGTATGGTAGGGAAAATTATGGCGTTTTCGATCGAGGGCACAGTGCAAGCTTGAGGTTTGTTTGTTTGTTTTACAAGCAGGATACAGATACAGAACACAATTCCATTCCATTCCATTGACCAATCAATCATATCGAGGCCCTTATACCCAGTATTCCTAATAGTAGACCAACCTACCTACCTACCTACCTTACCCATCGCCGCTTTGCTCTTCCCCCCAAAATCATTCGACTATGAAAAAAGTTCTATCCTCCCCTTCTTTTCATTTCATTTCATTCCCGTTTCATTATCTTTATCAAGTACTGTATGTATGTACATCTCAGACATGTATTAAAATTGAAAATAAGATACCCTGTTTTTTAACACTCGAAAAATTCATCACCTAGCTAATCCTCTAGATATCTTGTAATACAATACAAACAAAATCTTCCTTGACTACCTATATAAGATAAAGCGTATGCTTTCATTAGTTTCCTTCCGCTCTGTCCAGATAACTTGCGTACCAACCCCCCCCCCCCCAACCCCAAAAAACCAAAAAAAAAAAGGAAAAAGAGAAAAAATCTCCTTCCCTTTCTCCATCTATTCCTCCCCCCCAAAAAGAAACCACCCCAACTCTCTCCGCCCGTCATTCCTCTCCATAGCTACGCACGAAGCGCGACCACAGTGAGAAAGGGAAGGGTGCGGAGCGAGTGAGTTACCAGCCATGAAGAACAGGAAGCTCAAGATGCCAGGCACACCCGGGGGTTTCGAAAAAAAGTGTCCTCAGCTAGCTGATTCGGAGACGAGAGCTTCTGCGATCAAGCCCCGAGCTGAGCTTTGGAGAGAGAAAAGATTTGTTGCCTATTGAGAAGAGATTTGAGGTTTGTCAGCAGTAACGGAGGCAGGCAAGTGCAACTGAGTGCGTGCAACAAGAGAGGGAAGGAAGTGTTTGCGGACTGCAAAAGTTTGATTTGATTTGAAAGGTGACTTAAGTGATCGATCGTCTCGTCTGTCATGGAATCCGATGGCAGTGACTGGGACTCGATTCGACCACTATAGCTTGGTCAGTCACAAAATCTTTCGTGGCTCTATTAGAAGAAGAAAAAAGCAAATGAGACAGAAAAGCAAGTCTCGAGACTAGTAGTACATGTCAATGAAAGACCGCCGAACGCTATTTGGGTATCATCCTTCATGTCCGTACGCCTTTGAATTCAGGACTCCTTCATGAACATCATACTAAGCTACCCAGCATCAGGTAGCTTTATCATCTGCGCCGAATGGATGCAGCCCGTGCTTGGAATGTGAATCGAAATCGTGAAACGTAGCAATAGAGTAAATAACTATCAGACCGTGACAGGGCCAAACAGCTTCTCGTGGACATGCTCAAGATGTTCGCGCTGCAACTTGAAGGACCTATAGTTTCCCGCAAAGATACAGCCAAGGATACTTTGGCCTTTGCGATCAGAGGAATATTGCAATTCACCCGCTCGCCTCTGCAAGGCGTTGTAGGCGTGGGAAAATAAGTCACGGATCGCTGCTGTATTTGAGGAGCCACCTGATATGTCGTTTGAAGGATTGTTTGGATCAATAATAGAGAATTTCTCCTGTGGTCCAGACTTGTAGGTAAAAGTCCCAACATGAGCCTATAGCACTGTCAGCAAAGAAACGCAAAGACATCAGCAATCGTTACCTTTGATACATATCCGGGTGGATCAAACTGGATAGCGGTTGTGGCGACGTCAAACTGGTTGCCATATAGATCGAGGAATTCCATGAGGACTTCGCCAAGATGGTGCTCGGGTATCATACTTCGAGACTGCACCTGCGGCATATTTTGCAGAAGACTTACGACAAGACAGGTGACAGAGAAACCGCCAATGCCACCATTGACAGGTTCGTTGAGTCCTCTCATCGCCAAAAGATGCTTGATAAGAGTGACGAGGATTGGCACGGCGGGATATTGTGCCTTCCAATCCTGGAATGTCTTGTTGGCGACCAAGCCAGTTGAGTTCTCAAACGAGATGTCAACTTTGAGACCTGTAAGTCTATCGACGTACTTGACCAAAGGTACTTTAGCTTTAAGGATCATGTCAATTGACTCTGGAATGGCCAGGTTATTCCTCCTCAAGAAATCCGCGAAACGTCGGATACCTTTGTTGTTTTGTCCGAGTATTTTCTGTCCAGTTTGCAGAAATTCATTTGATACACAAACGAGATCCATGTCAGCCGTAGGTAGATATAATCCAGCCGGGAAAGAGCCGAAACAACGGATATCCGCGTTCGGGTAATACTGCTTGACTTTCATGCGCAGATCCTCGACTAGTCTTGCGCGAATCACGTTCTCAAATTCTCTTGGCTTAACGTACTCGTAGAAGTCAATGATTTCTTTGTGCAACCTGCAAGAGGTGTTAGCTATGATCCTCAGGAAAAGAGTAATGAACATACCAGACACCCATGACTGCAGTATCAGAATGGTCTATATCAAGCCATGGAGTACCATTCTCACCACGTGGAACAAGCCATTCCTTGAGGACTCCACCATCCGCTCTTGGAGGCTTACCTCGAGTTATCTTGTGGATCATGGGAGGTGGCTTGATCTCATCTCGGACATTGCGCTTTCGGGTACCTAGGTTGGGATCGACTCTTGTATCCAGACCTTTTGGAGGTGCCTTGATCTCGTCATTGGCGGTGCGTTTGCGGCTACCCAAGTCATCGTCACGTGTGAGGTCCACCACGTTGCTAAGCTTTGGAGGCATGGTGGCATGGTTACTGGTGAGAGCATTGCTGTCACGAGTTGGGACATTAATAGCCTGAAAGCTGGGCGCAGGAGCCTGGGGCTGTTGCAAAGATGCTCGTGGACCGCTGGGAGCTCCTGGAACACCTTTGCCAAACCGCTCTGGATCCTCTTCCTCATCTTCTTTACCATCAATCTGTCCACCGAAGTTGTCTCCACCAAAGTCTAGGGAGATAAAATCATCGGCAGCAGCTTCAGTAGCCTTGACTGTGTTTGCCGCGTTAACTTCGACGCGGGCCTTCCTAATCAGCTTCACGACGTCCTTCTTCTTCCTCTGCGACTCATCGGGGGGTGGGAGCGCTGTATAAGGGTCAGGGTTGGACCATTGAGGAACGCTATCGCCATCTGCAGCTTTGGTCTCGGTCCTGGCCTGCTTCTTCTTTGGCTGGCCATCGTCATCATCCTCCGAGAAATCCATGTCTGCTTCTTCACTGTCCGACACATCTTCGACCCGCATGTACTTCACTCCATGAGCATCATCTCCATTGATGCCAGGCATCAACTCAGGTGTGGGTGCACGATTGGTCCTCAGGAATTCACGGTCAGATGCCGTCCTGGGTCCGCCCCTACCACGATGGGCGTATCCATTGCGTTGGCCACCGTTCCGTTGACGATCAAGACGGCCATATCCTCTGCTGTTCTCCTGTCCGTAGTTCCGTTGACGCGGTGGGGACCGAGGCCGCCAAGTATCGGACTGACGAGATGCAATGGACGGAGGGGCATCGTAACGGAAAGTGAAGTCATGATTATCCTGCGGGCGGTACATATCCCCCGAAGGACGAGTTCCAGGAGCATGAGAAGCAGGACCCGAAGGAGTATAGCTGTCATAATTGTGTCGGGAAGAGGACCGCTGGTCATAAGAATCTCTGGGGTCCTGTCCACCACCGAATTGATACATCGACTCCCGCGCGGAACGGGGCTCCTGGGGAGGAAGGTTGGGACGGTACGAGTCAGCGGCTGGTTTGGGAGGAAGTCCCGGGGGCGGAGGCGGAAGTCTGGACATCTTCTGCAGTGGAATTGGTGGTGGTGTTCATGCAGTCGAGGGTGAGGGAGGAAGGGAGAGAGTAGAGGGAGAGAAAGCGCGAAAATTTGGAAGCGGCCTCTTGGTTCTTCAGGGACTTATTTAGCGCGACTTCTCTGTTGACCAGCGGCACGTGATTCATACATTACCTTGCATGGGTAGGTATCATGGGTATTTTACTCCTTTATAACGTTAGATAGATACCTTCTTCTTACCTTAGGGACCTGCTATACCATGAGCTTTTCTTTGTGCCCATCAGATATATATCATATCCCATATCTTGAGTCCTGTGGCCATGATATATCCCGTCAAGAGAGAGCCTGACGCGTTGCATGTGATTGATGAAGACTCCACTGGGCCGAACACCGACCAGCATCGCGTGTCTCCCCGCCATTCCCTTACGCCTCTGGATGGTACCGTATCGCTGCGGGCGGTCCCTAGGTAAGTAAGGTAAAAGTAGTATAAGTATTCTTTTTCTATATATCCCTATCCCCCTCCCGTCCCCTCCCTTATGATAATATTCCCTCCCGTCGCTTTCTTGCTGCTAGAAGTAATAACTGTTTTTTGTTATCTCCCGAACGTACCTCGCCAATCCTTCGTATCGCGATCGCATCGCATATGCCCCGTCTGCCTTGGCGGCAATGACGTTGTAAATGGCTGCATTTGTAAGTTCGTCTGGAGCAACACCACCACCACCCAAATATCTGATCTGAACTGATCAACCCCCCCCGTCAAGGACACCCCTTGGTTGGATTTAATGTCGCATACTCCAAGAGCAAGGAAGGACGACGATGGCGACGATGTGGCCAGCGCCGACCCGAACCCGCCGACTGTAGCCTCGTTCTCGCCGGTAACCCTCTCGCACGCGACCTCTGCGAACAAGCAACGGTCCACAATTCTCGTCCACCAAAAGTCGCCGCTCTTAGTCGCGACTCCTCCGCAGATCACTCGAGCGTTGGCCTACTCACATCCCTTCCTGCTGCCTCTCAACAAGCTTGCTGGGTTGCTGACATGGACAACGGGAGATCCGTGGGAGAGCTTCTTGCTTGTGGCTAGCTTCTGGGCCATAGTCTTGTACGGGGATGTGGTGATGCGATGGGCTGGTCCCGTGGTTATTGTTATAGCCCTGATATTGGGGATGTATTCGAGGAGGTATTCCCCTCTCTCATCGACAGGATGGACGGGGGAGAAGGGGCAGAAGAAGGCACACAAGAGGATGGACTCCGAAGCCACGAATACAAAACACCAAAAGACTCTCGATGAGATGGTTGAATCATTGAAGGAGTTCACATCGAGATGCAACGTCCTCTTGGATCCTCTCCTAGAGCTTACCGACTTCCTCTCTACCCAACGAACCGCAACCTCTGCCACCACGCGACCAGCTCTTACCACCCTCCTTATCCGCATACTCCTCGTCACGCCCCTATGGATCATCCTTACACTTCCCCCACTCCAAATTATCACCACCAAACGATTGGTCCTCGTTGCGGGAACACTGTTCCTGACCTGGCATTCAAAACCAGGCAAAGTATCCAGAGCTATCTTATGGAGATCTGCTCTTGTACGCCGGATATGTACTGTAGTAACTGGGCTCAAGTTCACAGACACATTAGCCCCGGCACCCAAAAACTCACCCGAATCCACCCGCAAGCCCTCTGTATACCAAGCGGAGGCATCACATGCTGCAAATGCTGCAGGGAAGAGGAGGCCAGATGCGCCAGGGGTGCGCTTCACGTTTATACTGTACGAAAATCAACGGAGATGGGTTGGCTTGGGCTGGACCACTTCATTGTTTGCGTATGAACGGGCTGCATGGACTGACGAGCATCTAAATCCGGCGCCCTCGAAGGATGACTTCGAATTACCGGATGTGGAGAGTGGTGGCGCAAGATGGCGATGGGTTGAAGGTAGCCGGTGGCTTGTTGAAGGCGCTGGGGAGTTTGACGAAGGAGGTATCAAGGCCAAGCCGGACGCTGATGGCGGGCAAGGTTGGATCTACTATGATAACAAGGTATGCAGTTCTCACAGCACCTTGGGAGTTTTCTATACTAACAAAATGAACAGTGGAGAGATGGCCGACGTGGTCAAGACGGTTGGGGAAAATACACCAGAAGGAGAAAATGGTATCGAGATGCAGAACTGGTTGAAATATCTCCCAGCACCGAGGTCACGCCGTCACCGACGCCCACCCGCAACGCCAATGCCGACGCCTCACAACAAACCCCCAGTGCCAGCAGCGCTTCAGAACCGCCGTCGGGGTACGCAGAAAGTGTCAAGAGTCTCGACAGCACGAAAAGCTCGAAAAGTTCCAAGAGTTCGAAGAGTTCGAGAAGTTCGGGCTTTAGAGCAGAGAGCTTGAGGAAAGGCTCCACGAGGAGTCGGACGAGTAGTTTGAATTTGGGAAGTGATGATGAACAGCCACCTCGGCCTCGAGGAACAGATTGGGGAATTGGTGATGATGCGAGGATGGGATTAGAGTAACTCTTTAAGAGCGATGAATACCTTATTGAAACGATACCACAAAACCCCGGACTCTTTTTTCCACATTGTGATGATCTTGTGATTCGCTGAAATGGAGCATACATTCCCAACCAAGCTTCGTACTCCACATAGAGGCTTTTGTCCTCAATAATGCATATCTATCATATCCCCATACGCCCGTTATAATATACACTGCTATCCCTTCCGCCCCAACCGACCCTCCCCCTTTTCACCCACAAAACCTTAAGCACCCCTGCTAGAGAAGATCTCCATAAGTCCAAAACAACCATAGAACAAAGCCAATGGATAGGCCACCAGGCCCCTCATGGCCCTCATCCTCCCCACCGCACAAAACATGCCCGAACTACTGTACGTACACCAAATGATGGCGAGACTCGTCAACACATAGCCCAGCATTCCATCCATCGGCACCACAATCCCCACCAGACTCGTCAGGACCAGGGGTAAGAGGCAGTAGCCGAGGACGGACGCGCTGCGCGGGAATGTCAGAGTCGAGGATAGACTCGGGGAAGCGGAGTTGGGTGAATGGTGGTCGTGGATTGCTGAGGAGGAAGAGGGGTCGGAGGAGGGCGCGGGAGACATGAGAGCGAGGATCCAGTGGAGCGCGGCGGTGCCCAGGAGGGCCAGACCGTAGATATATCCAAAGTGGACTTTGCCCGATAATAAAAGAAAGGTTCCAAAGAGAAGGAAGAAGAGGACGGGGCCTGCGAGGTCGGAATCGTCCATTATGTGTTGGTCTATTCGCGCCAGGGGATTGAGCACCGCTAATGTCTGTTTTTCGCGGCACGTCAGCTTTTTTGCTTGCTTGCTCACTTACTTATTTCCATTCAGACAGGAGGGAAATGGAGGTGGGGGGGGGATCAATTACTTTGGCTTGGATATGCCCAAAATTAACACCCAACTCCTCCAGCAGCGGCGGTTCCCCATCATACCCCTCGGTGCCAAAAGCAGCCAACCATCCCGTTCGCAATCCTCCCTGCTCGCCCATCCGTCCACTGAGCCCAGGCGGAGCTCCAAATCCCGAGTTAAACCCCCCAGACCCTGGATAGGCCGGGCTTACCGCTGGCGCCCCATATCCATATGCTGCTTGCTGAGGTGTCGCGTGGTCGGGAACCGAAGGGGATGTGTATGATGAAGGGTAGAATTGAAGGTTTTGCGCCGAGGCGCCGTATGGTTGGTTAGGCGGCTGTTGAAAAAACTGGGACATATTGAGGAGCTGTAAAATAGCTCAATGAGTGTCGAGAACTGCGTAAGTTAACGGGAAAGAAAGTGTGGGGTTTATGGGAGCATTGGAAGGGAACTACAGTAAGTAGCGGTGTTCGATTGTTAGACGTGTTTTCTTGAACTTGATAGTGGCCTTGAATGCTAGGCAGCTGTACTAGCTCTGCGTCGGAAAAGGGAGAGCCGATGCGAAAAAGTTGAGATTGTTTCCTTGACATTCATTGCTATACCATCCAATTCCGACCCCCGATCTCAGAAGCTGTGTCTGTTGGGCGTTCTTTATCACAGTATGGTATGTCGCGTACTTGTTCAGATCATGCTTTACTGGGGAAAATAAGAATTATCTTAATTGTTCTTGCTAACTTCCTCCAGGCGCATCGAATAATAACACAAGTCGTCCTGACCGGCTCACGGGTCCTCGGACGAGCCTTCGCAGAAGCCTACAAGCAAGCCAGTGCCTCCTCACAATACGCCAAAGCCCAAGCCAAAAAGAACCCTGGAGGAGCCACTTCATTTGGTGCGAATGGACTCACGCTTGACGAAGCCTGCAAGATCCTCAATGTCAAGCCGCCGCAGAATGGGAAGGCGAATATGGAGGATATAATGGAGAGGTTCAAGAAACTGTTCGATGCCAACGATCCAAAGAAGGGAGGGAGTTTCTATCTGCAGAGTAAAGTGCTGCGGGCGAGGGAGAGGTTAGAGAGCGAGATCCGGCAAGCGGAGGAGAGGGCGAGCCGGGAAGCGGAGCTGAAGGAAGGATGGAAGCCCAAGGTGTTCAAGGACCGGTAGCGTGGAGTTCGGCGTTGGTGGTTGTGGTACCTGCCATGCTGGTAGGCACATGAAGGGGTTGCTCAGAAAACGCGGCCTACATTATTGTCCCGTTGGACGATCGATCCGAGCACAGTCTCAAAATCTTCCCTCTGTATTCGACATAGCCAGGCGTTTGGGACTACACTGTATAATCAGGGATATGGTCAGCATTTACATCGGCCTTGGCGTCCAATATGTATATGTACGATATAAGGTGTGAATGAAGATATTTCTAAGAGCTACAATGACACTACCAGTCTAGACAGGTGGCTCTCCCTCAATACCATAATACAATACTGCGTGAATAGTTCAGTAAGCGCCAAGATAATGCGGTATCAGAAGTCACGATTCGCAGCATTCCGTTCTTGATAACAGTCATATATTGCATATGGCCTCTCACTGAGACGAGACAATCAAGAGGCTGCTGCTGCAAGTCCACCATCTATATCAATAGCAGTGCCAGTAACAAAGCTAGCTCTGTCGCTGGCCAAAAAGCTCACTGTGTATGCCACCTCTTCCGGTAAACCCCATCGCTTCATTGGCGCCCTTCCAGCAACATCACCGAATATCATCTGGTGGTGTCAGTATATCTTCTAGAGATAAAGTAATCTCAACTTACAACTCCATCCTTCCACATGTGCTGAGTCATTCCAGTCGTGATCCATCCTGGGCAGATACAGTTGATTCTGATGCCTTTCTCGGCATAGTCCATTGCATCCGCTCTGGTCAGTCCAAGAACTCCTACAAGTGGTCAGTGATAATCCTACTACTCTCAATATGCTGTTGCAGAATGGATTACCATGCTTGGAGATAATGTAAGGGTTAATATTGTTGATGGCAAGGTGGCTGGTCAACGATCCAACGTTGATAATGCTCCCTCTCGTCTGGAGCTTCAAGCCCGTTCTACGCAACCTCCTATTAGCCATCTTTTATTTCAAGAACAAACCAACAGAATACTCACGTCACATCTCTCATCTCCTGCTTCAACATCTGCTTAATCTGCGCTCTTTGGCAATACCAAACGCCTTTCAGATTCAACCCTAGAACGTTATCCAGGTTGCTAGAACTCTGCTCTGCCATCGGTTTGATATCCCCAGACATGCCTGCTGCATTGAAGCAAACGTCCAGTCTTCCGAAAGTTTCGACGGTCTTGGAAACAGCAGCTTCAACTTCCGCTTCTTGACTACAATCTGCTCCGATTTGAAGTACCGTGGCAGAGGGGTCAATGGCAGCGAGTGATGAAACGGCTGGGAGAAGCCGTTCATGTGTAATGTCTACGATTGCTATGTTTTTGACACCGTCGGCCACAAGGCGTTGAGCTACTGCTAGACCAATTCCAGAGGCAGCCCCTATTCTCTGTTAATCTTGAAGTTCGAGTATGGAGAACGGAGAGCAGTACCAGTCACGAAAGCAACACTGTGTAATGATTAACTAGCTATGCCGGGTAAGAATGGATTAGAAGACTCACCAGTTGGGTGGAAAGTCCGACATCCTGAATGGTGTCCTATTATTCCCAAGACTAGAACCTAGTTTATAGAAATATATGAAGGTCCAACCTCTCTGATCGTCAGCAGGCGTCTTCGATTGGGTTCAAATCAGAAATCAAGCGTGTATGAATTCTGGTAACTAAAGGGTGGGAGGGACTCTGATCATTCTTTATAAGTAGCGACCTAAGAGAATCACTTTGCCGAGAGCCGAATGATCCTTTTGTTACCTGATTCGAGGCTTTCGAGCCCATTGATACCACACTGACTTCCCCGCAATAGAGAGTTGACAACTACCCCGCATTTGTTGTGGTATTGTGTATATATCCGATAATCCGGCAGCCGAGGATTGATCTGGTCTGCACGGAACAATCCACAGAAGTTAACTGATTGATATCAAAGGAGTGTTGATACAGCCTGGATGCCACGATTACTTCGACTCTTTGAACAGACAGGGTCATATAGTTCTGGCATAGCCTAATTACTTCTTAGGCTTTGGTTAATACGAATGCGTTAGTCTAGTGTATGCATATCAAATATTCCATGATACCAGATATTGCCCGCTCCATGATTGCAAGAAAGTCGTGTACAACCACATACAAGACTGCACTGTACAGTTCAAATGTATTGAACGGATGGGATTAATAGTAAAGCAGTATCATAGAATAAGTTATGTAACGCGAAAAAGGTAACTGCTATGCATTAGAAACGTTTCCATACTCAAATATAACAAATACTCTAAGCGCCCACTTGCATGAAGAAAGCTCTCCAAAGCCTACGATCGATTGATGATGAATTTCTGCGCAAGAAGTATTCCTCTCGGTCGCTGTAGGTAGGAATATATTTCACTTGCTAGAGTTTAGCCTTGCAAGCGACAGAAACAGGAAAGTGAGCCAGTAAGCCAGTAAGCCAAACAGTTAAATTAGACGAAACTAGGGATCCAGCTTGCGTATCTCTGGCCTGCTGAACATTTGGACTCTACTATTTTGAGTTCCCTATTCCGTATCTGTGTAAATCTGGCAGACCATTCAATCACTAAACATTCATGAGATTTTCTTCAGGAAACATGGCATATTGCAAGAACTCCTGCAATTTTGCTCAGATACTCGAGCTTCAATGTGACAATATCTAGAACAAAAGCAATGGTTCATCAGAATCAAGAGCACTAGTAATAGTTTGCAGAAGCACTGACTTCACTCAACGTCCTGGATTATAACAGTCACTTGGTCATCAGAAGACATATCTGAGGGACGTATCTGCACTTTTTCTAGTTGAATGCCATTCCATTTACAGGCAGAAGGCATTCACATCGTGCTTGTCAAGGGAAGAGGCTCTCGGAGATGGGTATCTCCGAAGACCTCCCAGGATTGCTCCATTGTTGCGACAACAGTCCTTCCGAGGTCTGTATTATATCAATGATAGTCAAGAGGATAGTTTAAATGTAGAAGTAGAATTCAAACAAAAGTACGTTCCAGAGTGAAGAAGCTCAGAGCAACGGTGAGGTTGTCATCTCATGGGTCTCTAGTGCGCAATTGGTTAGTGTCCGCTCAGGGTAAGGTAATTTTTATTGTGGGGTGCTCTGTCATCGGCAGCTTCATCGGTGAACTTTCTTTAAATAAACAGCGAGTCGAACGCGACCCTGCGCCTTCATCAGCCTTGTCGAGCAACGAAAGACTCCCCAGATGCTACATGACCAGCTTTATGGTCATCGTTGAAGCCTGGGGACGTCGGTCGTAATAGAGACCGCCAGAACGCGTTGATTTTCGTGGACTTCTAGTAATCATGGCTCCGACAAGCAACTCCGCCAAAGCGATGCAGCACAACCGCCCCAGACCGACCGTACCAAAGCCCATTGTGCCTGCTATCCCGCTGCCTTACATTCAGAAGCGCCAGCAGCAGCTAGCAGCACGCGAGAATGCGAAGGAAGAGGCTGCACAAACACAAGTGGTGGAGCAGCAGTCTTCCCCAGCACCATCTCTACCCGAGACAGCCCCCGCCACTGTCAACGGCCCATCCGACACTCATAGCACTGAAAAGTCTGAGGAAGGCGATGGGGCTGCTGGGAAAGCTTTGGCAAGGGACGAGGTCAAACCTACCATACCGGTCCAAGAAAGAGGAGAGCTACGTGGGGTTTCAAACCGGGAGGAGTCAGAGGCTTCAGTCCAAGAGAAGGCATCAGGTAAGCAAAGAATTTCTTATCTCCATCGAGGTGTTTTGAAGCACTTAATAACTGGAAACAGACAAAGCACTTGAGACACACTCCATACCCTCTGACGGACCATCCTCAGCTTCGAGATCGACCTTCCAGATGCCCCCACCGTTTGTTCCCGCAAACCAGAGCCAATCGAACGCAACGGCCTTCAATCCTGTCAAGTTCCCGCCGCAACAAGTCTTGAACGGGCATCATGCTTCTCAAGCCAGTCCTGGAAGTGTTGTATTCGGTGGGTACCCAGAATCCAATACTTCGTCACCTGCGCCACCCCTCTCTGCGGGCAATGTTCCACCATATCCCTTCCAGCAGCTACCCCAGGCTGGACGTCATGTTCATCATCCTTCAAACGGTACCCATACGCAGCATATGACGAACGGTTTCTCCCCACTGGGACCTCCACCTCCGGGGTACTATTTACGCCAAGACAATTTCATGAACCAAGGTCCTGGATCAGAAATCTATGCTCGTCGACAGATGGTGTCATTTGGGCCCCCTAATGGACAGTCGCCTTCAGGCACACCCTCCGGTTTCGACAATCCACGTTTCGGCCCATATGATCCTTCAACACCGCGGAGCTTCCATGGTTCACAGTCTTCAGCTCCGAATGAGCAAGATAATAACCCAGCTTTCTACAGCCAGTACCCGAACGCCGTCAATTCTAGTGGAAGTAATGGTCATATCGACGATGTTCGCCTATACCAGCAGACACGAATGAAACCTCGCCCAGGTACTCAACCATTGGCGCCTCCGCATGGCACATTTCCTATGGGACTATCTCCCGCCGCGGATGACTATGATGGTCTTTTGGCTTACCTGGGAAATCAGTTTGCTGATGCTGAATTGGCCGACTATACTCTCGAGCTTCGTTACTCGGATGATCGCGCTCCTCCGGTCCGTATTCCCGGCCACAATCTCATGTTTGCCCGAAGCCCATACCTGAAAAGCCTCATGAAAGCACAACCCCGAGAGAGCAGTGGCCTGTCAGTTCAACCTCTGTTCATCGAGTCAGACGATCGTTTCTTACGCTCCGATGGCTTCTGGATGGCGGTACAGAGACTGTATGGTGGGCCTCTTTTGGATCTAGGTGCTGCTGCGATGCACCACTTGCCAAGAAGTGCTCGACAGACTTCACCAATGCCTGGCACCCCTGCCGACCGTTTTGACCTTGCGCTCGGATACGCGGCTGCTGGCCGTATTTTGCAAATCCCTCCAGTCATCAATCGAGGTGCAGAAATTGCATGCATGTTAATCAACTGGGACACAGTCGAAAAGGCCCTTGACTTCGCTATAGATGGTGGTCTTGATTCGCAGTGGACTTGTAACACCCAACCAGATCAGACTGTGACTCCAAGTACTTATGGCCCGGCTGTGAATATGATCATCTTTAGCGCGTTGACCTTCATTATTACCTCGTTCCCTCCTAACTTCGAGCTCGATACTTCCGTCCCTGAGCCAAGTCATAACCGCAGACTCCCAACCGTACCCCAAGATCGTTCGGCCGCTCCGAATCCACGCCTGAGTTTTATCAAGTTTGGCGATCATCCAAGCGAAGATAGCGTTAAATCGGAGACCGCAAACTCCATTCCAGTAACCCTTTCAAAGGTCTTGCTCAATCTACCATTTCACCTGCTGAAATTTGTACTGGAGTCTCCACGCTTGGGAAATGTTGAAGGCTGGGCAAACAATACCCTCAGGCAGAAGGCCATGCATGCAGTCATCGAAGAGCGGGAGAAACGCAGACTTAAGATTCTTGCCAGCCCCCATGTTCCGGAAAGGACGCCGGATCAATTTGACGACACTGTACGCTGGCAAGAAGCTGTTGACACTCATGGTGGGCACGAAGGAAATCCGGTGTTGATAAGAACTTGGTTCGAGAAGGGGGTTCCCAGTTCTGACAAGTGATATGTCTTCTAACAGAGGATGACGACTATGGGAGGGCAATGATATGTTTGATTACAGGAGCATTGGCGTTGCATTTGGTTGATGAGTTTCGAGGTCAGTATTACGTCTTCGTCGTAAAAGGAGGAAAGGGTCCTCAGTGACTGAAGTCTCCTTGTTCTGGCTAAACATTAAAGCAAGCGTGGCATTGAGCCTCGCGTTGCATTTGGCACTATGATTGCTGATTGATGGAGGGAATGGAGATATTAAATAAGATCGAATGTGGCCAGCATATCCTTGTAATGAGTAACCAGTACTCTAGGTAGTTATGGAAATGCTATACAAGGTTCTTGATATCTTGCTGCATACGTGATTTGATCGGTAGATTGATCAATAAATTCAGTTCGGAATTTGAATAGACGAACTGCTGACCTGTCAGCCCCAGCGAAGGTCCTCACTCTACCTACCTAGGTACATTAACAAACTCAACTCACGTCATGTAAAACACTTAAAGCTTACCTATATCCAACAGCATGATGACAATAAGTGGAAAGTTGGCAGTAAGTGCTACAAGAATGAGTTGAACTTTTTCTATTTATCATTACGCCTACGAAGGTTCAGGCATAAAGAGACCGACAATAGTCCTAACAGCACCCAGAGGACCCTGTTGTTTGAGCAGCTTATCAAAAGATTCCGGTATCTTCATTAGGCTCTTTCGATCGTCTGCTTGTTGCCCTACATTTGACATCAGTATAAATCCAGATGAAAAAATGAAAAAAAAAAAAAAAAAAAAAGCAAGACAGGAAAACCTACAGCTCTTGGGCAACCGCGCGCTGGCCGATATAAAACTATCTACCTCCCCAGTCCAATCAAACCCAATTCTCCACTCGAGCCTAAGAATCACATCATCCGTAGCTAGTTCCATAGCTGTACGTCCCATCTGAGGCAACAGGTGTCTTCTCGTCCATTTCTGTTTCCGAGCTGCTCCTCCCTCGTCGTCGTGTCCCTCCAGGGGAACTGCATCTTCATCTTCCGTGACCGTTTGCTGACGTTTTCGTTTCTTCTTTCGTTGAAGGGACTGCGCCCTTGCTTCTGCGGTCCCGAACTCGTGTTCGACGGCACACCAGAACCGTGCTCTGAGCACAGAGACCTCGACCCAGCGTCCCATCGCCCAACATATGAGGCCGATATCTTTGGGTAGGGCACCTTCTGGGCTTGAATGCTCCCTTATGAAAGTCCCTAGCTCCTTTTCGGCACATGGAGGCAGTTTCTCGATATCAACTGATGAGATGGTGAGGAGTGAGGAGTCAACAGTCATCGAGAGGCGGGCGGTAAAGAGCCCGGATGGATGGGAAGCGGTAATGAGATGCCGTTGAAGGATTGGTTGGGCTTCTTGGGAGGACGAGTCTGACGCTGTAGGATCTGATGGCAAGAGCGTGATGTTGGATGTGTACCTTAGGGGGCTGAATGCCTGAAGATAAGGGAGGGGATCATCAACTGCGACTGGCAAGTGGGATGGAATAGGTCTGTCCGGGACAGGCAGCCTGATCGAAGAGCGTTTCCTCCTCGATGAAAATGGCAGAAATGATCCAATGGATTGAAATATGCTTTTCGGTTCTTGCTTTGGTTCAGAGGCTGGCTCGGGTGCCGTTGATCGAGCAAGCACAGCTAGTAATTCATCTGGATTCGAGGGTGCTACAGGCGTGGATCTTTTAGACTCGTAATGTAGTCGCAATCTCTCATTCTCCCGACTCGCGAGGGCGATATCTGCTTGCACTTGCTGGAGCTCTTTCAAGAGCTCATCACGAGATTTCTTCTTGTCCGCATGCGGATCTTCGGGGATCGAGAACCTTGCAGACCTTCGACGCTTGGGCTTTTCATGTAGAGGCTCTTTTTGAGCTTCAGGTTCTACATCTTTTACTGGTTCGGATTCCGGTGGCGGCTCTCGTGGCTTTAGGGGTGACGACTTGAGCTTTTTCCCAAAAGACCTATTCTTTCTTGCTCTCTTGCTCGGAGTGTCATGTATGCCTGCAGGGGGAGTAGTTACAACTGGATCAAGAATCCCTAGTTGAGTCGGAGTCGGGGGCAACTCTGGCTCCTCGGGTTCATTCAGGAGTCTGCGTGACGTTGGCGTTGAAGCTTGGAGGTTCTGGGAATCGCTCGCAGGCACGTTTAAAGGCCCTTGGGGCACTGCATTGCCGGATTCAGCGGCCTGGAGAACCGGAGACTGCCGGGGTTGTTCCGGAGGTGCTTCTTCCTCACCTTGTGGCAGAGGGCCATTTGGCGTCACAGGTCGTGGTTCCAATGGCGCTGTTGGAGTTGTCGAGACTGCCGGTTCTTCTGCGCCTTGAACATTGGGTTGCTCGATAGTTGGCAAGGGCTGAGATGCTATAGGTGACCTCCGTAATCCTCTTCTCTGAAACGGATTGATGTCCTCTTCGGGCACTTGAACCTCCTGAGATGCTACTGGGGATCTTCTTAATCCCGCTCTCCTGAAGGGGTTGATATTTTCCTGCAATTCCCCTCCAGCCGTTGCATCTGCTGTGGTAGAACCAAAACTCTTCGGCATCTGCTTAGCTGGAGAACGCGACATTCTCCTCGGCTTCGCAGTTAGTCCACCTCCCACAGATAGTGATCTTCTTGCGCTGGACTGGACGGCCACTGGTGTCCTCCTATCCTCTTGCGGGTCTTCATTTTCTTGAGTAGTTGATCCTAGAGACCCTGCGCCCTCATCGCCCGATATCGCGTCTCGTCCTTCAATACTCGGACGGACTTTCTGCAAAGCGCGCGCAAATACATCGTCTAAATTCCTCCCTCTACTCCCTGATCTCTCGGCGCCGGTCCCAGAAGACGAAGGTCGGTTTAACAATTGAGGGTTATGTCTTGCTATACTCGCCTTCGTGGGAGAGGCAAACGACGGCCTGTCTGGCAGAGTTCTAGCTCCATTCTTGGGGATGGGTATTCGACTTGGAGTTGTCGGCGCGTCGATCGGTACTGATGTTGTTGGCGAAGTTTTGCGCCGCTTCGAGGGTGAGGATTCCATTGGCAGAGATGGCGGTAATGTTCACGGATACTCCATGTTTCGCAAAATAAGTCCTACTTCGAATTGCGCCCCAAACTGTGGTGAGATGACACCGCACTGCAGTGCAGAGGGAGTGAGAGGCGGTGGTGTTTGGGTCGCGTCTGATTCGAGGGACGCGACTCTGAGGGGACCGAGGGGGGAGTTCTAGCGACCAGGCCGACCACGGAAAACGAGCTGCGGGAACTCTACAACGATCTCCTAAAAGAATAGATCGAAATCTCCACGATGCGCATCTTCTCTGATAAACAACCTCAGAGTATCAGGCTAAGTCCTCCTGCTACTTGAGAATCTCAAAAATTACTATGCTGATCACGAGACCCCTTCCCGATGACGCCGAAGTCCGGGGGGGCTGGGCGTCTTCCAAGAAAAATCGCCGTTGAGCCTCTCTTGAGATACCTCCCTCTCTAACATAAAGAATGGAAACACGATTTCTGGTCCGCGCATCTCAGCGCTTAAGAGTTCATTCTCGCGTCCATCACCTCCGGCGCCAACAACATCTCTCGAATAATTCCAGACCCTCGACTGAACAAGCCAATCCCATAGGGGAGTACTATGCCTCGATCCTCGAAGCCTCGACCCAAAAACCAGAAAGCAAGCCGCCCACCACCGCCTCCTCTGCCGCCAATGAACCGGGCATATCTACCTCGTCAGATAGCGAATCCACAGAAGATTCCGGGCCTTCAATCCTGTTCTCCTCGCGGCTCTCCTCGCCACTGGAACGGCGAAGTGAGATCCAGCGCAAGAGCACCTTAGTCGCAGGCGTTTGGGTGCCTCCCCGCCCTGATGAACCAGATAACTGCTGCATGAGCGGGTGCGTAAATTGCGTGTGGGATCGGTACCGCGACGAGTTAGAAGAATGGGTTGCGAAGAAGAAAGAAGCCGATTATGCATTGAAGAAACAGAAACTACGTGAAGATTCGGGGAAGCCAGGGCGAGAGGTTCCTAGGATGGCTGATAGGGCTGGTACTCCTGGCAGGATGAGTGAAGCGGAGACGAACGCCGCGCTAGTTATGGACGACGATGGGGGTGGGAGCGAGGGACTTTGGGGTACTGGACTAGACACGGACTTGACCAGCGACGACCTATTTCAGAATATCCCGGTGGGCATCAGAGAGTTTATGAAACAGGAGAAGAGGCTGAAGGAGAAGCATGCTAGAGAACGTGCTAGTGGTGGATAGGATAGATGATATACGATATAGACAAGTGATAGAATGTGACATGAGGAAAATGTACTTCAGGGCTGCATACAGTTGGCTATTCTTGCTGGATGATGCGTATTATTCCCATCCAAACTTCCAAAGCCATTCACCTAGCCCACAAGAGGTCATGGATGTTGTTACACGTTCTCCCCGGTCCCTCAATTCCACCGTATAGCCTCATTATGTTACAGGATTAATCGATATCCACGCCCTTGGTCCTCAACTCCGCCTTCGCAAGATCAATCTCCTTCATAAGCTCCGCGTGCGCCTCTGGCACATCGTTGAACGTAAAGACTCCCCAGCCAAGTTTGAATAGAAGGTAAGCACCGAAGGTAACGAGGGCCCAGAACGGCAACTATTTCAGATGAAGGACGTTAGCTAGGCGAGTCTTGGATTGGTAGAAACATGGAGGGCTAGATCTAGAAGACGAGGACTGAGATGGAGCTCGTCCTGCTCTTCCCAGAGTTCTTGGAGATGAGATATGGAGGGTTCCGTGGTAGGCGATTGCCGGAGCGAGGGCACGGAGGAAAGGGAGTATAGGAAGACGTTGCGTACGAAAGGTATTATTTCATTTGAGATCAAGGCTGGCAGAGGAATGAGTCCGAGGTAGAGGGCCAAATAGAGCTGTAATTCGTGTTAGCTCGTGCAGCTATGCGGTCGTTGTGTATAGCTTGAGGGGCGCATACAGAAGTGACAAGGAGGCCGACAGAGACGGTTTGCTGTGCTCGGGTCATGATTGCAACCAAATGGTATGCTGCTGATGACAATACCAACGTATCGAATGACAAAGGAGTGTGGTTCGTAAGGAGCTGGTTGTTCAGCTCAGTGAGGACACTGTTGGCAGTCGCGAAAATCGGTCATTCCGAGGCGTCTTCACGTGATGCTACTTCAACAAACGCGTCTGTCTCGAGTCTAAAGCAACAAACAACAAGCCTGGATATGTCGGAGGAAGCGTGTTCTTTGATTTATCTTGTTGGATTAGATATTGGTTGATTGCTATGTCTTATAATTAAGGGGCACATAATTAAGATATGGCGAATATCTGTCATGGCGCTGTTCCTACTGAATGTCCATCAAACAGACATTCATAACATCCACGCCCTTCTGTACACTTGAAAAGCCTGGCAATCAATCCTCTACTCATGTCGATAGGACAACGAGGAATGACAATAAGCCAGCGCAATGTCATGATACTACATTTCTTCATATGCATGTCACCACATACAGCAGAAGAGCAGTCGTCAAGCTACTTACTTCCCAATATACGTGGTACAGAGACAACGGGTCCTTTGCCCAGAGGCCTTCAGAAATTGCGTGGATACCTCTTCTAGAGGTCGTACGTGCACCTTCTCTGTCATTGCCTTACTCGAATACCGCAACGCCGCAGTTCTAGCGTTGGGGGTGACAAGATCTCTTCTTCAAGTCCCAGCATCAAGCCAAGATCTCAATGAAAAGTATTAACGACAAGAGCCGTTGTGTGCAATCAAAAATTCCCCCGATTACGTGACCGAAGCCAAGTAAACGATTCTCGTCGCCCCGATGTGCAATGGAGGACTCGTATCGCCAGCCCCTGATTCTTGAGCCAGGGCACTGTCAAGAAGGTAAGTATGATTTTTGAAAGAGGGTGCGGGAGGCAGCGAGTATTTATACTCCAGAAATCCTGGAAATCCGCTAGTTCTCGCTAGATCTCGCTTGCAATTGTTTGCAGTGTTTGTGGATGTCACGTGTAGGTGTCTTGGCAGGTGGGTCCTTGATGCCTCACATGATTCTCAGGCTTTAAGGCTGCAGCACACGCTAGGCAGCAACTTTGTGCCTTAGGCGAAGAAGCTAATTTTCAGAAAATTGCAGATGTGCGAAGCCCTACCCTCTCGCTAAAAATCTTCGTGGGATTGTCGCCGTTGATTGACATCCAATTCGAACTTCCTCGACGACGACCCGACGACCAACGACTTCTTGATCGCACCTCGACAAAATGGCGATCAAGCACAACCAGCAGATCCCTCACAACCGTACGTCTCATTTCGCACTGTTCAGTATAAACAGCATGCTAATTGGAGGTAGATTTCCGAAAGGATTGGCAGCGACGAGTTCGAGTTCACTTCGACCAGGTAAAATATACATACAGAAGCAGCATGGGAAGGGGAAACTAACAATCAACAGCCTGGCCGAAAGCTGAGACGCCGTAATGCCCGTCTCGCAAAGGCTTCCGCCGTCGCACCTCGCCCAGTTGACAAGCTGAGACCTATCGTCCGATGCCCAACTATCAGGTACAACCGACGTGTACGAGCTGGACGTGGTTTCACCTTGGAGGAGTTGAAGGTAACCTATTCTTGGGATGTCAGGCTTGTACGGTTCTGACAATACGTAGGAAGCTGGTATCCCCCGCAAGCTGGCGCCCACAATCGGTATCTCCGTTGACCCCCGCCGCCAAAACCTCTCCACCGAGTCCCTCGCCGCGAACGTTGCCCGCCTAAAGGAGTACCGCGCCCGTCTCATCCTCTTCCCCCGCAAACTCGGCCAGCACAAGCAGGGTGATGCTTCCAAGGAGGAGGTATCTGCTGCCAAGGACACAGTCACGAGCGTCAAGCGCTCCCTGCCTATTGTCCACGCCGACACTACCATCAAGGAGATCAAGAAGAGCGATATGCCTGCGCCTATTGAGGGTGGTGCTTACCGAAAGTTGAGGGATGCGAGAAGTGAGGCGAGATTGGCTGGCAAGCGTGAGAAGCGGGCAAAGGATAAGGCTGAGGAGGCCGCTGCTGCTAAGAAATAAATGGCATAGGTTGCTAAAGGGTCTTTTGTTTCTATGCTGGTTTCGATGGATGGGTGGAGGTCACAATAGCAGTATTCTACAATGCTTAAGTGTACTTTCATGAATGCAACGGCTTTGCGCATCTATTGGGTACAGATTGGGAAACGATATACTTGCAAGTGATGCAACGTGCTCGGAATGGGTTGCTTGGTCTAAATGGAGAGTTCTGTTACGCATTTTGTCTGTGTCGCTGGGCTTGAGCAGCACAATGGAACTCATGTGTTCCACGTGATATAGTCGACACTTGAGCCAGGTAAGGGAGGTGCTCTATGACTCTATTTGCCTTGTTTTGTTTGCACCTGCCTCCGTATTGCAACCAAGTGGTTTGCGCACTTCTATAAAGTATCGGGCCTCGCTGTTTGATGATCTACTTTTTACACTGATTCATTCAATCAAATCCATTCAAAAGCACAGACACGCCAGTCTCTTTGTACCGTCTCACATCTACAGCGCACTTCTCCTTGTCTCCAGTCCTACACGAAAGCAAGCTTCAACTACCAATCACACAAGTCAAACTCGAGGATATCAACCCATAAAGGTCCCAGAGCCCACCTTCTCGCGAAGCAGCCATGGCCCCAAAGGAAGGAGAGGATAGCAACAAGTCCCCTGCGACTGTCAAACCCAGCTCGGATTCACCATCGACCAGCAAGACGTCGGATCCCACGAGTCAGAAGGCCGCTGAGGAACCTACCAAAGCTTCTGCAACCCCAGACACAGGCGAGAAGAGAAGGTTCAAAGGGAAGTCTGATAACTGCCCGCGCTGTGGTGCACCAGGCTCCTTGGGAGATTGCAAATTATGTGGATGGAATGGAGGCTTTGGCATCTCCGGCCCAAACTGATTCTTCCCATGGAGTGGTTACTCTGAACTGCGATCCATTGAGGAGATCGGTTCATATTGAGAAGGAGAAAGGCGGGCATTCAATTACTTTTCTTGATTCACAACGTAGCAGCACCCATGTATGGCAGTTCAGGGGGTTTGGTGATTCATTGAGTTGTCAGGCTGGCTGGCACTGTAAGCATCTTCAATCTCGTCCGCAAAGCTATTATGCTGACTTTGCGATGGAATGAAGCCCTTGACATTTTACGCTCCTGTCTTGACGGCAGGTCTTGGAGTGTGAATCGCTGCATTTCTTATCATACATCCACATGGACGGTCCCTCAAAAGCTTCATAACGAGTGTTGCTCCAAAACAGACTACTTCAATCTCGCAAACACCTTCATCAAGAACCTTCAAAGTGGTCTCGACACCGTCTTCAACTACAAACAGCCTGCCAGCATCATCGATTAGCAGCCACCCAGCGTTTTCATTGCACAACTATCAAAGTACTATAATAATCACAATGGCCAGCAGCATCGCATCGACCTCCTACAACTGTCCTTCCTATGTGTGGAGCTAAGAAATTCCAAGGATCTTGCTACAACTATTACACCCTCGAGTTTCTGCGTGCTCGACTAGCTGGTGGTAGGAACAAGCATTTCGCCGGACGGTTAGCCTACATTGAAGAATCCTAACTGGGGTAGGGCCAAATGTATGAAGCCATGACATTAGCCAGCCTTGCAACTTACCTCGAGTAGCTGAGAAATCACACACATTATTTTTCCTTAATGACTGATTGACCGCAGGGAAACTTCTGTGAATCCCAAGTTGGAGACAGTGATTCAGCAACCCTTTACCCCCTGAACCCTAAACTGCGGATTGCCATATGTAAACTCCTGCAAGCTACTGATTCACAAGAGAGAAGGACCGAATAGTTCCTGAATAACTTTCCTGCACTGTTATTCAGTGATATCAAAAAGACTTAATAGGGTTAGTTCCCCAGAACCTCCCCTCCTCACTGGCTGCTCCATGTTCGTGACCGAAACGAAGGCAGTGAATGGCACAAGTCCCATGATTCAAAAGAATCCCTTGGCTGTCACGACTTCTAGAGCCTTCCTCAGCCTGCCGAATAAGGAGGAGGTACCCTTTTCCCCTGCCGTATGGAGACCATTCACTATCATTTCAAAGATTCACAGCACAATTACTCGCTCCTTTCGAGTCCTCGGGTCCTCTGCTCGAGTATTTATACTCCGCTTCCTTGCTCTCAATTTCTTCTTTCTTTTTTCGAGATATCAGCACAAGAAAGAAGGTTGAAATATACAGACCAGAGACCAACCAAACATCAAAAGCAAAAAGAAAGACCCCCGATATCCATACCCAGAGACCCCAAAACCCAAACTATCTTGCTCGAATTCCCGCCGCTTGAAAGAAGCTCGACAAGGTACAGCACGAAGAAAAATACCCCCCCAAAGAAAGAAGGCATATCTGACCTTCCAAAGCGACAGCAAGGGAGATAGATATGCCGGAATCATCGGCGGCTGGTGCGATGTCTAGTGACAAGGATGGGGAGGATCCGGTGTCTGTCTGCCCTACTTGCGGCGCGGACGAGTATTCGGGCATCTGCTATGCGTGCAGTGCTGGGACGGGGTTTGGCAACTATGGGTATACGCGCTGTGGACGGAGAAAGAAGGGAAGGCGGGGAAAGCGTGGTGCTGGGGATGGAGGAGAGGATGGAGAGGAGATATATGGGTTGGGGGGTTGATCTTAGGGTCGAAAGGGGAAAAAAAGGGGGGGGGGGGTCGTTGGGCGTTCCATTTGAATACGATTTTTCATGCTGGAATGAATTAAATACCAAAGAATAAAACATCTTGTATCCTTTTAATACAGCGGTGATGATAATGTGATAATGACATAACACAGCCGAAGACTTGACCCTTGAGCGCTGGAGTTGGGAATTGAGATAGGCTCCAGACTAGAATTCGATCATAACTTCGACCTCAAAGCGCCAGAAACTCCAACGTTACGAGTCCGAGGTCGTAATACTGAAAACAATGCCATGCGGGGATTTAAATAACACCTAAGCTAGCATTTGTATGTTAGGATGACGGACTATCGAAACCCCCCCCCCCCTTTTTCTTCTTTCTCGGCAGGAGAAAAGGGGGTCAGCGAAAAGGTACCTAGAAACCATCATCCAAGCCAGCCAACCAACACACAAAGCACCTCATCCAAAACCGTCTACCTCATATAACCAAAGTCTAGTCCATCCCGTATCTCAAACCATCTCGTTATTCTTTTCCTCAGCAAGAGAAGTAAGTAGGTAAGCTATTTCCAAGATCAGAATATTCACGAGTAAGAACAGAAAGAAGAAGAAATGAAGGAATGAAGTTGATTTGATTTGAATATCCCTTGGCTATGGATGGTTATATAGGTATAGAAGGAGACTGTTTTTAGTGTTGGGTATAGAAGAGGAAATTGAGCTCAAAAGAGAGAGATTGGAGGATGGTGAGGATCGGGGGAGTGGTGAAAAAAAAAGTGGGGGGGGGGGGGGGGAGGGAGGGGTGCTTGAGATGTAATGTAATGTATTCTGGAATGAAGGCTCAATTGATGGGAAGTGGATAGATATATTTGGTTGCTTAAGAACAAACAGCAAGAAGATCTCGCGTTATGCGGAGAAGGAATTGGGGTGTGTTCGTTCATATGAATATGAATATGATTATTCAGAAGGATGGAACAAAAAAAAGCAAAATTCGAGGTACTCTCCGCCATTGGGATTTATCATCTTACTGAATAAATCCTCTTGGACCTTGCTCCAACTTTTGTATGCATCGAATACCAATGATCAATGAATGAATGAATGAACTGGATAGCGAAACCCAGAGAGAGAGAGAGGATTAAGAACAGATATTTATCACTAGCTAACTACTTATTTCTCGAAAGAAGAAAAGAGAAAGAAAGCTGTAAACCCGATGAATCAAACGTCTATACAGTTTAGGGACCGAGCATATATAGGTATGTATGTATGATGAGGACCCTAACTAGAGAACAGAACTCCTCGAGTAGGAGTCGTGTAGGGTTCAAGACACAGAATCTAGATGGCTGTCTGTCTGCTCATGTTCGAGGACGTGAAGGAGAATTGGGGATACGCTATCTTCGAGGAAGCGTATCGCGCAAATATAGAGAGGGATGGATGTTCTAGCAAAGGAATCTCCAACATATAGCGAAGAACAATAAGTATCTTGCTAGTTCAGGCCGCAGAATTTACCTTACTTACCGTTCGTTTATGGATGTATATAAACGGGATTTATTCGTTTCTGCATCTGAGGCTAGATATTCACCGACTCACTAACTTGCTGATTGATCCCTTGCAGCCAATCTGAAAGGGGGGTCAGACAACAGGAGCGGTTCTGAATCTACCCCTAATCACGGGTAGAGTGATTCCCGGACTAGATATTATATATCTCTGTCTGCAGTATGGATGGAAATAGGTAACTTGAACATAGAAGAGGATTGAATGAGAGAATAAAAGCTGGATGGGAGGTGTAGCGCAGCAGTAGATGCTTGGAAGTCCCTTGATATATCTCCCCTGATTTTCTTGAGACCTAGAGCTAGCTAGCTTCTCCTGAAGGCGTTGATCCTTAACGTAAGTCCCAGATAGGAGAAGAAGAAGAAGGTAAAATAGGGGAAGGAGTCTGAGTCCAAGTCCGGATTCGCCATCTGCGAACTAGATGAAGCAGATTTCTTGCTTGCCACGAGGAGACAACACGGGACACTTCCGCTGAAGAGCGGGATGGCGCAATCCCCTTCTCGGGGGAGGAGTAGATCAGAGGTTATGCCACTTCTGTTTGTCTCTCTTGACGTCCATATGCTTTCTAGAAAAAAGAAAAGAAAAGGAAAATGGAATAAAAAACAGAAACACCCAGCTACTCTATACTCAACTTTCCAACCAGCAGACCAGCAGATCGTAATCAACGCACTGAAAACATAGGTATCCTCTTTATTGAAATAAAACAAAAATAAAACCGCAGAAAAACACAAATCTTAAATTCAAATTACCTTGTAGCAGTTCGCATAGCTGCGTGTTATTCCCCAGATGATGGTGTCTCACTTACCTGACGCGCTGCAAATTAAAGTTAAACAACCACTTTTATTTCTTAACTTCTGTACCACTATGGGCTGCCCGCCTTGTTCCTAGTGGGAACTTAAAAATAGCGCGTTGGAATGTAAACAACAACAGTTGACATGCGCGTGGATTATGCGGCGCGATACTGTAGATGTATGTATATGTATGTAAAGAATGGATGGATGGGATCGGATCGTGGATGGACGTCTGTGCGCCGCAGGATGGGGAAGAATTGGGAGAGAGGGTTGGTTTGGGGAAGTTTGGGGGGGGGGGGGGAAGGGGGAAATGAAAACGGAATGAGATGTTTGTTTGTTTGTTTACTTGTGTATCCTCAGACGCGTCGAGAAGGTCATTAATCTCCGCATCCCGAAGGCCTGGGCTGGATGAGCTGGGACTGCTGGACGGGGCGTGATGAGAGCGAGGGATAGGAATCATGGGATTGCGGGGAGATCATCTACAATAGATGGCGCTGGGAGGATATGTATCTCGTGGCAGATTTGCGAGATCGAGAGATCAGACGGCGATATCCCACAATTCCAGGATCCCAGCGCCGGCACAGCATCGTATACGATTATCTCGTGGCAGATTTGCGAGATCGAGAGATCAGACGATGATATCCCAGAATCCCAGAATCCCAGCGCCGGCACAGCATCGTATACGAGTCAACGGCTCGAATCCCTCACTCCGAGCTGCCAAAGATGGATATGAGGTTAGATGACTGCGGTCTCCAGAATCATAGAATTCGATAGAGCACAACACTATCTACACATACCCACATGATGTGTTCTGGAGCGTAATCGAGATTACATGGTTGCAGATGAATCAGGTACTGTAGGTATGTATCCATATTCCCCTCTATAAAGGTACGGAATAGACCCATCCTTATAGTTCTGGCAGAAGCCCGACTAGCAAGAATCAAGACATGAAGGTTCTTTTTTGCTTTCTTTTTTGTTTACTTTTTCGGGGCCCGGAAATCGGTGGTACATGGATGATCAAAGTTCCAGAATTCTGGATTATGCGAGATGAGGTTTTGCTGAGATATCGATGTTGAAATTAATGCAACACCCGAGGGCGATAGCGCGGCTCTATACCCGGGCGGTGATCCATATCCTGTGCGGGCTTGTCCGACGCTCTGGAATCCGGGATAGTCATGGATTCTTCACTATTGGTAGTAGTTGTAATTTGGCCTGTAGCACCGCCGTGTGCTGAGATGATGGGGATTGGGCAAGGCCAAGTAGCTAAGGTACATAGGTACTTTATCTGAGAACGAGATCAGGTGACTAGCCCGCGCGGATGCGCTCCCCGCCAAAGGCCTAACGCAGTCAACCAACAGTTGGCCGAGGAGTTGGGCGGAGAGAGCGCGGCTATTGGCGCAAGGAATCGGTTGCAGAATCTGAGAAGCTGAGAAAGAGAGCCTGGGCCTGGGTTATCCTGGATCAGAGGCCTGAGGACGGGTCGCTTGACTGTTCCTGCGTAGAGCCGGACGCCGGACGGTACCTGCGTAAGGCGACGTTCATATTGCTGGACAACGTATCACACCCGGGCCGTTCATATTATCCTTGTTCAGATGCTGCACTGGTCCGCGGCCTTGTGGTTCGGAGTAGAATCTTTTGGCTTTTCTCGTTGGACTCTTCATTCAATCTTGCCTCAATTTTCTCCATAGAACTCTGAAGCTAATTTGCTCCAGCCGACGTGGCACGCGGGGTGGCCGCTTCTTTGTAACTATTACTGAGAGATTGGTGCCTATTATGGTACTACTGCAGAACCACTGGCCCTAAGGCTCCGGGATCACCACCAGTGTCTCTTGATTCTCGAATCTAGATACAGAACGGTAGTAGCAGTGTCGTAGTAGAAGAACGACAACCCTACAGAGTAGAATAATCCTAGAATCACATGGCTTCCCGACTCTCGGGAAGCGTTGGGACGGGGGATCCGTCCTGAAAAAAGGGGCCGGCGTAGACAAGCGTCAGGTACATCCAGGTACGTACAGTTGCTGATTGGCCTGCGCAGGGCCCGGTCGCCACCGTCTGTGTTTCCGTCTCCGGCGTCTCGGTGGGTAGTGGGTACGGGCCCGGCCTTGTCCCTGAAGAATGCCTGCCCCTTTCTGGACCACGCGACAGCCGCCAGGATGTCCGTTCGACTACTACTTATTAGCAAGGACTGTCGGGGCACTGATCAGCACCTTGAGATGGGGAATCCTGCGACACCACGGCTTTAACTCCGTACGGAGTAGTTGGGCGGCGGAGTTGAGACAGGGAGGCAAGCGAAGGCGAGGGAAGGACGGGGAAAGGGCAGACAATGGAGAAATGAAAAGAAGAGAGGGAGAAGAGAGAAGAGAGGAGTGACGAGAGAGCCCCTCCTTTTGATGGAAGACAATCTTTGTCTTGCAGGAGAGACTCAAGGGAGACAGAGGGAGACATCAGAGGCGGGGACAGTGCTGCAGTAGCCGAGTGACTTCGTATGCAAAGGCGGCTGTCTCTGAGAAAGCCTGAAACCTTGAAATGTTCCGACGACGGTGGCTGCCGTGGATCGCAAGATTCGCACTGGCAGCTGGCCATTATTACGGGGCCATCTGACGACACACTGACAAAGTCAACAAAGCAATAATAACAATGCCCTGTACGGAGTAGTGTGGAGTAGAAAAAGCACAGAAGGAATCACAATGGAGCAGCGGCCAATCAAGCCGGACGGGCCGTTCGGCCAAGTCTTATAAGGCGGAAAAAATCTGACCATCTAAGGTTCTGATCAGGCATCAGAGACTTTACTCGGTAAGAGAAGCACGGTAGATGATCATATAATCCAAGTAGTAATCATATAATCATACCAGAGGCCAACAGGACGGGCGAGAGAGCCCGAGCGCAGACGACTGAGGGAAGACAGAGGGGAGATCGCGGCTGAAGCGCAGGAGACACGATACGAGAGGACGCAGCAGTGCAGCACGTTGTACAGGAGCGCTTGCTCCCCTAAATTTCGCATGCGGTTGCAGCAGCAGAAACAGAAAACAGTCGAGGGAGCAAAGGTCTGGATGCATTGATTTGATTTGCGCAGGGCGGAAGCAGAGCTTCAACCCGCGGGGGCACCGGGGCGCGGGGACGGGATGTGATTGGGGCTCGGTGGAGAGAGAGAGAGTCCGCCCTTTCAACCGTCGGGAGCATGGCCGTTTGCAACGCTCAACTCTCGCACCTCAACGGGTCGGGGGGGGGGGGGGGGGCCAGTGGC